GGACCAAACATATAAAAAAGCATCTTGGGTTTAGTAACTTTTTGGCTTATATGCTAATGTGATTAATCTGAATATAAAAAAAAAAATCAAAGAACAAACTTCTTCTTAATAATATGACTATGTTTAAATACCCTTATTTATCATCATAATTACAGAATAAAGCCACTATTCTTCATCCCTATCTATAACCTCTATTATAAAAAAAAACCAACACTTGTCAAATTCAGAAAAAATTCTCAGTCCTACACATACCGACCCGACCCGACCCGACCCGAATCTGGCCGGTGAAAATGGAGGTCCAAAGCAGTGGTGGTGGTCACTCTTCTTTCTCCAGTCTCGGCGTTTACCTTAACTCTCTCTCCGCCACTCCTTCCCGGTTAGCTCGCCGCGCGATTTCTGTCTCCACGTCTTCCGACGAGATGAGCAGAGTCCGCGCCGTCTCCGGCGAACAGATGCGTCGAACTCTCCGGTGGTACGATCTCATTGGACTCGGAATCGGAGGAATGGTCGGCGCAGGAGTTTTCGTAACCACCGGCCGTGCAAGTCGTCTCTACGCCGGTCCATCAATCGTCGTCTCTTACGCAATCGCCGGACTCTGCGCTCTTCTCTCCGCTTTCTGTTACACGGAATTCGCCGTACATCTCCCCGTCGCCGGCGGTGCTTTCAGCTACATCCGTATCACATTCGGTTAGTCTCCGATCTGTAACCGATTTTCAAATTTCAAAATCTGTAACCGTAACCGATTCGATTTTTCTTTTTCCTCTGTTCTCAGGCGAATTTCCTGCATTCTTCACCGGAGCGAATCTGATAATGGACTATGTAATGTCAAACGCGGCAGTTTCTAGAAGCTTCACGGCTTATTTAGGAACAGCTTTCGGAATCTCAACATCGAAGTGGAGATTCGTCGTCTCCGGTTTACCGGATGGATTCAACGAGATAGATCCAGTCGCTGTTCTCGTAGTACTCGCAATCACCGTCGTAATCTGTTGCAGTACAAGAGAAAGCTCGAAAGTGAACATGATTATGACTGCATTTCACATCGCGTTCATAATCTTCGTGATCGTGATGGGATTTTTAAAAGGAAATCGGAAGAATCTATCGTCGCCGGCGAATCCAGAGCAGCATCCGTCGGGTTTTTTCCCGTTTGGTGCTGCCGGGGTTTTCAACGGAGCAGCCATGGTTTACTTAAGCTATATAGGATACGACGCCGTTTCAACGATGGCGGAAGAAGTTAAAAATCCGGTTAAAGATATCCCGGTGGGTGTCTCTGGCTCCGTCGCGATCGTCACCGTTCTCTACTGCCTCATGGCCGTGTCAATGTCAATGCTTCTCCAATACGATCAGGTTCGTGATACATTTTGGTTAAAAACGGCACGTTGTTTGAGTTTGATGATTGAAAACGGCACGTTGTTTGAGTTTGATGATTGAAAACGGCACGTAGTCTGACTTGACGGCGGTGGGGGTGCAGATAGATACGGAGGCGCCGTTTTCGGCGGCTTTCAGAGGATCCAACGGTTGGGGATGGGTGACGAAAGTGGTGGGGATAGGAGCGAGTTTTGGGATATTAACATCACTTTTGGTGGCGATGTTAGGTCAAGCTCGGTACATGTGTGTGATCGGACGGTCGAGAGTGGTCCCGGTTTGGTTCGCTAAGATTCATCACAAAACATCTACACCGGTCAACGCCTCCACTTTTCTTGGTACGCTTTTGTCTCATTCGTATATATTTTACTGTCTGAACAAACAATCATATTAGTAAAAAATCTGATTTGATATTTTCTGGTCCATAAAGTGTAGAGAGATTGAGGCAGGAAGTTAGGTTAAAAGGGGACCCCAATTTAGAACCGTTTCGGTTGTGTTTTCCAACTTTCCATGATTTTTTTTTTTATTACGAGTTTTAACGTTTTCTCAAAGATCATACGATCCACGTGATTACATTATCTATACGTGTCGATTTCAAGATATATTTTATAATCAAATGTTTTGGACTCATACCAGTTTAAAATCTTTCCCTCGTGACAAGGGGTTTTGTGCGTGTTATTAATTATATCAACGTAGGGACATGGTGTTACGTGATTTTTATCATGGTGTTTTGGGTTTTAATTAAATTTAAGATAGGGTCACAGAGAGAGCATCTGAGTTTCGATAGGTAGAGATGTCGTGTTCAGTTCACTACTGGTTTCTTTTTGTTCAAAGATTCAATCTTTTCAATTGGTCTTGATTGCGATGGGTTTGGTGGGTCTCTTCGGTCCCTTGTGTGTCCCCTTAAGTGTTAAAATTTCGTATTCCACTTTTCTTTTTAATAAATCGATTCGATAATTGGATAATTACAAGGCATGACGACTAATCACCAACCATTTTAAAATAAAATAAAAGTTGGTGATGTACTAGTCTGCTGATATTTTCACAAACTATCAAATTTTGGGCACCTTTACAAATACACAAAATAAATATTCGATTTTGTCAGATTGGAAAACATGGTTTTTTAAAAATACACAAAGGAAATATTCGATTTTCTCAGATTGGAAAACATGGTTAGACGCTAAATATCCAAATTAAATCCGGCTTGATATAATTATTGGTTGCTCTGATTTAATGGTAACGTGTAGTATTTGATTAGAGCCATATAAATTTTGTTTTATCCATATGCATGCTCATTGTAACACAAACTTTATTGGCTTTCTCGTAAATTTTGTTAACTTTTGTCACAAAGTGAATCATTTTACAATTAAGAGTCATCATCGTCCAACCTTATCCTTACTTTTTTTCTCAAAAAAAAAAAAACCACCTTACCAATTTTAGCATCCCACTAGCTCACATTTGCTACACCCATTAATAGCATTTTTTTTTAAATAACAATTTTACTATTAAAAAACGGTTACAATATGCAACATTGTTTTCGGAAAGAAAATTACACAAAGTGTAAAGTTTGAAGTACTAGAGCTTAAGATCGAAGATAATCGAATCTTTCGCTTCAATTACATTAAGGATCACGGCGATTAATTGCCGAGACTAGCCACCGCCACCACTAATAACATTAACTTCTCTCTTTTTTTGTTTACGTATATACTCTGACAAAAAAATAAAGGAACAAATCCTCCCACCACCATCTTCGATTTCATATTGGACTTTTTAGTTGGTCGAATAATAATCTAATATGTTTATAGAGAATATCATGATCATGAATCTTATTAATATTCGTATTGTTTTCGTTATCAGGCATTTTCACGGCGGCTCTTGCCCTCTTCACCGACCTTAACGTCCTCTTAAACCTAGTATCAATCGGTACATTATTCGTCTTCTACATGGTCGCGAACGCACTTATTTTCAGGCGTTACGTTCCGACCGGACCAACCAAACCATGGCCAACACTCTCATTCCTCACACTATTCTCCATAACATCACTCGTCTTTACACTCGTATGGAAACTTGCGCCACAAGGCAAGCTTAAAGCTTTCTTGCTCGGTGCCACCGCGGTGGTGGCTATAGCCGTCGTGCTGATTTTCCATTGCGTGGTCCCTCAGGCGAATAAACCCGAGTTATGGGGAGTCCCGTTCATGCCGTGGACCCCGTGCGTGTCGATTTTTTTGAATATTTTCTTGCTAGGTTCGTTGGACGCACCTTCTTACGTCCGGTTCGGGTTCTTCTCCGGTTTGATCGTGCTCGTGTACTTGTTTTATGGCGTTCATGCGAGCTCTGATGCTGAAGCGGATGGGTATATTGGTGTGAAAGATGGACAAGTCATGAAAGAACTAACCGAAGTGTGAAAAGTATTTTCGTCTGAAAATTAGCTTATGTAATTTGAACTCTCTATTTTTTTTTAAAAAAGAGAGGGTTTTAAATTAACTAATGAAAGGTATTTAATTTAACTTTAGGGGAAAAGGTTATGTAAACTCTCAACTTTTTAAAGGGGTGTTTTATGAATAAAATTATCCCTTTGTTTTTGGAAAAAGAGGAATTAGAGAGTTTACATATGAATTATGTAACAGTTTTAGAAAAATCAATATATTGTTATATATTCTCTTTGTTTTTAATATAAGATGCTATAAAGGGATAGTTGTTTCATACAACAAAAAATATATATATATATTATTATTTGGTAACATTGACCGTATGAGTTATTTTTTTTGAAATAATAATAGAAAAAATGGATGACATCTCTGTTAACTATACAATTCACAGACGCATAAATATAGGATATTAAGTTATAAGATTGGTTTCAGACAGAAGACCGTGACATTTTCTTTGTATTAAGGGAGAAGACTGTGACATATAAAGAACCAATCTTTGTCAGTCGTATAAGGCAAGATCCTGGTTTAAAATAGTAAATGTGTATGTGATGCATTAATAAATGGATACGTTAGATAGAGATATATGTAGGTCGCTCATAAATACGAGAGATGGCGTACAATAAGCGATGGGTCTCCATCTTTCTCACGGGACACACACATTATCTGACTTTCTTTATCCGGAACTTCATATCCAACAATATCACTTTCTTTTTTCCCTTCTTTTTCACGACCACTTGTTTCGAATTCCTTGAGGATATATCTAC